TGCAGTAGTTGAGAGTGAGGAAGAAGAGGATAGTGAGGAAGGTAACACCACAGAGCTTCTTATTGAGACTATGGCCAGAGAGCATGCAGCTGAAAAAATATCTTATTGTGGCTCTCAATCTGATAAAAGTTCCTGTGACAAAATGTCTGAAGATCTGGATAGGGATGAAAGAAATGAATCTCCCAGTAATGTGAACAGCATACATAAAGGTGCTTGGGGGATGATTACTCCTATTCCTCCCTCACCTTTGTTTGTGTATCGTGATGGATGTACTTATGGGAATGCTTTTCCTCCTTTGTCAGACTATGTGGTTTGGCCTTCTCTTCCACATATTGTGCCTCTTGAGGAGGGATCTGTGGAAGGAGGAGAAAACTGTAGTGTATATACAGTTGAATCTCCTTCTGGATCACCAATCCATGACAGCATGACTTATGAAGAGGAAGTTCCACACAGACAGAAGCAGAAGCTGGAGAGGGTGGAGGATGTGGTGGCAAACAGAATGAAGAAACATAATTTGGAAGTATGGATATGCCCGATTCAAAAAATCAATTCTCTGCATTATCTGATTCTGCCATTATATTGCGTGCTGCTCTGATGGGAGTGCAAATCCCTGATGATGACTTTGTTACTGTTGATATCTTGCGTGAATTAGAAATCTCTAGAAATTCGTTGCATGAAAAAATTGATGCTAATTCACAGAAAATAACTGTTAATGATGGATTGGGTAATGATGTGCCCCTCTCTTTAACATGGGATGATGATAGCGGAAATATTGATGAACCATTTATCCTGGTTCAGTCTAAAAACAAAAAAAGAAAAAACATCGCAGGAAGTCGGTGATAGTTATATACCCTAACAAGTCCAGTAGACCTGTGACTAGAAGTCAACATAATAATGAGATGGGTAGGGCTGCTATGGATCCTGGCAGACCTACCAGAGTGAGAGGTAAACCTGAAAGATACAAATGAAAGGGGTTTTTTGGAATTGTAGAGGAGTGGGAAAAAAAGGTATGTCCACCTGCCTAATTGACATGATCAATGTCAATGCTTTAGACTTCATTGGCCTTCAAGAGACTATGAAGAAGGCCTATAATCCTGCATTTTTCAGACAGATTGACCCGAATCATAAATTTCATTGGGAGTGGAATCCCTCTAGGGGGAAATCAGGTGGCATCCTGTGTGGTATTAGCAAGGATAAATTTGATGTCCTTATGACCAAGTGTGGTAAATACATCCTACAGTTGACCCTGTTCGATAAGAGCAAGAACTGTAGCTGGGCTTTGATGATTGTTTATGGTGCGACCCATGATGAACAGAAACCTGAATTCATTGTGGAACTGTCATCTATGTGTCATAGTACAAACATTCCGTATCTAGTTGGGGGAGATTTTAATATCATTAGACATTGTGGGGAAAAAACAAAAAAACATCCATGTCCCACTTCTCGGATGTGTTCAACTCCGTTATACACTTGCTTGGGTTGAGAGAGATTTATATGACTGGTGGTTGTTACACCTGGTCCAATAAACAAAAAAACCCGACTCTAGAAAAACTTGATAGAGTTCTCATGTCTCCTGATTGGGAAGATTTATATCCTCTCGCTTCTGTTTATAAGTTGACAAAAGAAATATCAGACCACAATCCTTTGTTGGTTGATGGTGGGAATGCCTCATCTAGATCGCCGGGTAGTAGATGCTTTAAGTTTGATAACGCCTGGCTTAGTAATCCAGACTTCCTCCCTCTGGTTGCTGAGATTTGGACTAAGCCAGTGTATACTTTAAACCCCATCGATTCCTTGAATATTAAGCTTAAGAGAATTAAGAAATTTTTTAAGGGCTGGGGTTCCAATTTGTTTGGTCATAACAAGATTAGGAAGAACATTATTAAGCTCGAATTGCAGGAGCTTGAAAAACTGGAAGAAACTGATGGTTTATGCGGGGATGCTTATACTAGGAAGTTGGATATTCTAGTTGAGCTGAATAATATGTATGTGGAAGAAGAACTCCACTGGCATCAATTCTCTAATGAGAGGTGGCTATTGAAAGGTGACAACAACACTGATTTTTTTTCATAAAGTGGCGAATGGTCGTCGTAGAAAAAATTCCATGATTTCCCTGGAGTGTGGGTCCACTCTTATTGAAGGTACAAAAAATTTACTTGCCCATGCCACTGAGTATTATAAAGCCCTGTTTGGTCCGGCCCCTGGCAACATGTGTCAGATAGATGCCACTTTGTGGTCTCAGGACGAGTTGATTTCTCCAGCGGACAACGAGGACTTGACCCGTCCTTTCTCGTTGGAGGAAATAAAAAATGCTCTGTTTGACATGAAATCTAACCGTGCCCCTGGTCCAGACGATATTCCTGCTG